TGCCTCCTGAGAAGCTAGAATTACAGGTGTGATCTACCAGTGCCACACTAGAACATTTTCAAAGAAATTGAGGAAATACTAATACAGCACAACCCAAAGTAGAATTTGCTAGGATGTATTACAACTGATGGTGGCAAAAATATATGTAAATCAGAAAAAAGACTTGATTCAACATATTTGCAAGACTTATGAAAATTGTAATTTGTTTAAATTGTATGGTTAGTAATTATAGAAAGTCCTTGGTCTGGTGGGTTGGCAATGGTAAATTTTTATTACAATTTTTTGAGTAAAAATCAGGAGAAGCATTTAATAGAATTCATAATGAGCATGAGTATCTGGCAGTATGTAGCTATCTGTGTGAAAAAACATTTTTTAAATGAGATATATAGAGCTGGGTGCCAGTGGTTCACCCTGTCATACTGGCTTCCCAGGAGGTAGAGATCAGGAGAATCACAATTGGAAGCCAGTCTCGGGCAAATAGTTCTGGAGACCCTATCTTGAAAATACCCAACACAGGGCTGATGGAGTGGCTCAAGTGGTAGAGTGCCTGCCTAGCAAGCATGAGGTCCTGAGTTCAAAACCCCAGTAGTACTGCCTCTACTCCTGAGTACTGGCTTCTCAAAAAGAATTTTAGCCTTCTCATTAGTAAACAAAAAAATTCAGTTATTACACTTTGAATGTTATAAGTTGTTTTGTTTTTTTTGTGGGACTGGGGTTTGAATTGAGGGCTTTGCACTTGTAAAGCAGGTGCTCTGCCATCTGAGCCACACCTCTAAGTCCATTTTGCTTTGGTTATTTTGGAGAGGGAGTCTCATAACTATTTCCTCAGGTTGGCCTTGATCCTCCTGATTTCAGCCTCCCAAGTGCTAGGATTATAAGCGTGAACCACTGGCACCTAGTCTTGAACGTTATAAGTTTAAAAATTGTGAAAATCTGTTTCCTCTCTTGTTATATAAACACCTTTTGGTTCACAAAGTCTAAATATTTCCTATCTGATCCTCTACAGAAAAAGTTTGTTGAGCTGGGTGTGGTACCTTATACCTGTAATTCCAGCACTTTCAAGGGGGAGGCAAAAGGATGATGAGTTTGGGCTACATAGTGAGACTCTGTCTCAAAAAACAACAAAAGCAACAAAAAGAGCCAGACAGTCAAAGATCTTTTATTAGCACTCGCATAATAAGTGAAGAGATCTTAAGGCAGGAATGGATTTGGTGCTTTTTTTGGTGAGCCTGGGATTTGAACTCAGGGCTTTGCACTCACAAAGCAGGCACTCTACCACTTGAGCCACATCTTCAGTCTGTTTTGCTCTTGTGAACTATTTGTCTGGGCTTGCCTCAAACTTTGATCCTCCTACTCTCAGCCTCCCAAGTAGATTGAATTATAGGCATGAGCCATTGGCACCCTGCATGGATTTGGTGCTTTTAAGGAAGATGAAGAAGGTCAGTGTGGTTAGACCAAGATAAGAAATGGACTATAGGGAGAGGACTAGTAGCACCTAGGCCAGGTATCTCGTGTGCCTCTGGCATCTATTATGGTGCCTAAATTCCAAAGATAATCTATCTTGTTTGTAAAGGGTTTTACCATTCATGTTTTCATATCTGCTGTCTTTTTTGTGTGTGTGTGTGTGTGTGTGTGGTACTCTGGTTTTAACTCAGTGCCTGAAGCTTGCCAGGCAAGTGCTCCACCACTTGAACATGCTCTCAGCCCATATCTGCTATCTTTTGACTCCGTGAGCCTGAGATGATGGCTGTGTAGCTGAGGCAACTAAAACTCAGCAGCTTGCTTTGCATTCCATCCTGCTCTGACTACTGCCTCTCTATATACCTTATTTTTGGGTTGTACAAGATGATAAATGAAGTTCAGCCCAACTCTGAATCTGGTACACTGTATTTTGTAAAGTTGGAAGGCTGATTCAGCACTTATTTTGCTGTTTTATGCTACTCTTTGGTGATATCTTGGGAAAATTTGGCAAAAGAAAGCTTTAGGGTTCATCTAAAACTTCCAGTTATCCATCATAGCAATTATCTAAGACTAGATTCATCCTCCCTAGACTTAAACGTAGAAAGAGGGGTATATATTTCTGTCTATTCATCATCTTTTTTTGTGTGAGTGTGGTACTGGGGTTTGAACTTAGGGCCTCATGTTTGCTAGGCAGGCCACTGTGCCAGCACTGAGATGGAGTCTTGTTTTGTTGTCCAGGCTGACCTCAACTCTTGGGCACATACCAACTGAGTCCAGGTTTTGAGGCTCTGGTTTTCTTTTCTTTTTTCTTTTTTGGAGGGGCTGGGATTTGAACTCAGGTGTTCACACTTGGAAAAGCAGACCCTCTACTGCCTGAGCCACACCTCCAGTCCATTTTGCTGATGTTATTTTGGCGATGGGAGTCTCATGAACTATTTGCCCAGGCTGGCCTTAAACCACAAACCTGATTTCAGCCTCCCAAGTAGCTAGGATTACAGGTGTGGGTCACAGCATTAGCTGAGGCACTGGATTTCTATCACTGTTTGAATTGTTTCTGATGATACACTTAACTCCTTGATGAGTGTAACTGTTTCTGGTCAACTGCCTGGAGACAGAGGACTTTATTGTCTTCTTCCGCTGAACTATCTCTTGACTGGGAAACTTGGAGCCTACATCATAACCTTCAGGCAGTGACTCTTGCTCTTTTTAGCACATCTTTACCACCCAGGCTCATTCCTCCCTAGCATATGTAATAAGAAAATAGGCATTATGTTTTCAATATGTACCAGGTTATTTAAATACATTTCTTCATTTAAACCTCAAAAACATCTTACGAAGTAGATACTATTATTACTCCCTGAGAAACAGATTAAATAATTTGCCCACTGTCACAGATACCAAAGCTAAAACTTAAATCCACATGTGGTAGGCAGATTTCTAAGATGATCCTTGTAATGTTCTTGCACATGAGTGTGACATGCTTCTGATAAAGAGGACACATTAAAAATGACGGTCTGTGATTAGGTTACAAAAGATGATGTCTATTTTGTCAGGAGACTGACAATTGCCTTCTTAGTTTGTATGCTTTGATGAAGCAAGCTGCCATGTTGGAGAGGCCCATGTGATAAGGGCCTAACACTTGTCAGGCAGAGACAGGAGGTTCTTAAGTTCAAGGCCAGTCTGGGCTACATAATTAGTTCAAACCCAACCTGAGCTATATAGAGTGAACCCTGTATCAAAGAGACAAAACAAAGAAAAAAAGAAAGGTAATGCACTTAGATGAATCTGATTGACTTCAAGGTTCATGCACTTTAAAATTATACTAGGTTGTTTCTCATTATTCTGTTTCCAGGTGCAAAGTGACTTACTGTCCTTCACTGGATGGCCTCTGCATCCTCTAAAAGAATCTTTGGTTTCATAAGAGCTCTGTTGTGTCTAAATTTAGTCCCAGAATCTAGAAGTTCAATTCCTTTTTAGTTAATTGTTCTTATGGTTTACAGAGCTGGGTTAAATAGCTACGTATTCCAACCCTCAGCAGCCCAGGGAATGCCTATTGTCTTTGGGGTCAGGCACATCTCTTGACTATGTTGGCTCAGTTACCTTGCTCAAAATCTTCCTCAGGGTCTTGCTGCAAATTTGGATTAATACTGGGGAGGTCATCTTCTTTCTTTCTCCAGGCTCTTAGCTATAACATTTGGAGTGTCACTCTCTCATAACACTTATTCCAGTGAGAGGAAACGTGTGGTCGCTTAGTTTGCTTTTGGAGGGCAAAGACCCTTCCTGGGTCTGACAAGCAGAATTCTAAGGGGACCAAGAGCTTGTCAACACTGAAATCTGAGCTGGACTAATGAGGCCAAGCAAAGCATCTACTTAAGTGGTGCTCAACCCTAGCAATACTTTAGAATCACCTGGGGAACTTTAAAAACAATGCTATACAAGAGCTATTTCAAACCAATTAAGTCATAACTTGGGAGTGGTACTGATGGGTCTAAATATCATATTGTGTATCTTATTACTTTCTGCTTTTTTCAGTTTTCCACATGTGCATGCATCATTTTGCCAGAACTTCTCTGCTTAAAATGCCCCTCTCTTCCATCTTTCATTCAGTTATGGTCTGATTTCTAACTACTAGACACTATTCCAGACATTGGAAATACAAGGATAAGCATGGAACTAGGTCTCAGATATTAGACCTTATACTCCATCATTTTTTCCCTCTTCCCTTTTATTTTGATGGGACTAGGGTTTGAACTCAGGGCTTCACACTTGCAAAGCAGGCACTCTACCGCTTGAGTCACGCCTCTAGTCCATTTTGCTCTGGTCATTTTGGAGATATGTGTGTGTGTGTCTTGTGAACTACTTCCCCGGGCTGACCTCGAACCACAATCTTCCTGATCTCAGCCTCCCAGGTAGCTAGAATTACAGCATGAGTCACCAGCGCCTAAAGCTTGTTTTATTCTTTTGCCCTCACTGCTAATTAAAAACTTACTTTGACTGTGTGTGGTAGGTCACACTTATAATCCTAGCCCTCCTTCTACCTGAAGCTTGAGAATCAAGAGTTCCAGGGCAGCTGGGCTACATAGGGAGACCCTGTGTCAAAATTAAAAGGAAAGAAAACAAAACAAATTTATTTTGTCATATGGTACGACCTTATTAAATCATTAAGGGTAAGTACCCTGTCAGCTGTAAGGGCTAACTTCTTTAAGGAAGTCCAACAGAAATTCTTCAATGAAAAGAATCTGGTTTTCAGTGGAAGCCCCACCCACGTGGGAGGAGCAAAGGGCTTCATTCCCGCCTCCCACAGGTGGAGGGTAAGCCCCGCCCATCTGCGCGTTAAGCCCTGCTAAAGGGCGGAGCTGTATTCAGTCGCGCACGTAAGTGAAGCGGCAGGGACACCGCCTCCTACATGTTCGCGAGGGGTGGGGTCTGAAGACTGGGTGTGAGTTGATTGGCTAAGGGGGCGGGGATCCACAGCTTGGCTCCTCCCAAGTGCTCGCACAGATCCCAAGTGGAGTGACGGGAGGGAGTCCCTATCGCTGCTGCCTCCAGCTATGGCGCCTTGTTGCCGCGCCCAGGCTCCCGCTTGCTTGCAGCTACTCAGCGCTATCCTGGGTCGGCTCAGGCGGTGAGAACTGGGGCGGATGCGAGGGAGCGGCGGGACACTGCCGGTGACAGAGGCCATGTGGAGCTGCCAGACCTGTGGGACATCGGATAAGTGGAGCCGCCGTGGCACCTGCTGAGAGAAAAGAGGGAGCGGCCCGGTGCGGCGGCGCGCGGCGGAGGCTCGTCCGCTCCTCGGCCATGTCACTGCTCTGCGTGCGGGGTGAGTGTGCTGACCGCGGAGGGGGTCTCCACTGGTTCCCACGTTTCTGATTAGCGACCGGTTGCCACCTTGCCCAAACTTCACTTCCTATCCGTGTCTTGGGAGACAAAATACATTAATAGTCATTTACAAACCTTTGAAGAGTTTCCCCCACTCTTTGCCCCACAACCCCTACACTATTACAAGGGACTTGCATTAGACATGTGTTAGCGTCGGCCGGCAGGCCCGGGTCCAATAAACAGTGTCAGGGTTCTCTTCTCTTGAGAGCGAATGAATTAGGAGACCGCGGATGGCTGGTGCCTGTCAATCGCACGCAGCCTCCCTTTTTTCTTTCTTCTCCCTGCACCGTAAAACTAGTCCGCCTGGTAGCAGGTTCTTTTCATCACTCCTTGTACGCGTTAGTGGTACAGCTGTCACCTCCCTTCTTATTTATTGTATTTCTTGGTTTGCACTTTGCGATTGCTTGTCTTGCTTGTCCCTGAACCTCAGCCTGTAGTCTAGGCTAAAATTATTTCTCATATTCCTCTTGGAAGGGAGTGTTGGCTTCTCTCCTTTGGGAGCCTAGGCTGGCCTCGCACTCGCGATTCCCCTGCCTCAGCTACCTGAGTGCTGAGATTACAGGCATTTTAAAACAAGAGTTTTGGGCCTGATTTAGTAGAAGGTCAATGCTGGGTTTTGAATGAGTATAAGGACAGTGATTTTAGAGAGCTTATCTGAACACAAAATGCAGGCTTTGGATTACTGGCTCTGAAATGTTGGTCTGGTGGGTAACAGTTCAAGAGTTAATCAGCGTTATGTTGAACACTGAGTGGGTGATAGAGGTGGTTGATTGTGAGAAAGCACTTATCCACTCTAGCCTTACCAAGCTGTTTTCTTGTACATTTTACGGATAGGTCAGTTAGGAGGTTTTCATGCTATTGTCTTTGGGCGGGTAGTAGGATTAGAGACGTATGTTTGTGATACTACTCTAATCCCGAGTGTTTCCTCCAGCAAGCTAGGCAATGGAACAGGCAGGTTGCTTTGTTCCTTTCTTCTACTGAGGTTTTTGGTTAATCTGCGATTAACGCCAAATGGGAATAATTGGTTATTTTCGCGGGGATTATGAACTAGGACGAGTGTAGTTTTTCTTCTTTCATGGTTGATTTTTTTCATTAATGAGAATTTTGCTTTGGTTTCAGTAAGACATTTTCTCTCAGCAGCTGGGAGTCTATTTATTCTTTTAGATCCCTGGTGCTGAGTAGCAGGATTTGGGAGAGGATAGGTTTTGCAATGTTGCTTGGACAGTTTTGTTAATTCTCTACTGCCACTCCATATTACAGAGATAGACCTTATGAAAGACTCTTCAGGCAGGAGCACTTTTAAATCAGAAATTCCTGTTTAACTGAATTTAAATACCTTCAGAGAAGGAGCTGCTGCTGTTTTCATTTGTTTTAATATCAGGAGCTTTCATTGTCTGGAAATTCTGCTCTTAGGCTAACCTTTTTCCCATTTATTTATTTAATATGGATGCTGGGGTATTTGAGTGGCAGGGCACTCAAGCATGCCACATTAAACCACTGGGAGTACGATGCTCAAGCTCCCTCTTTCCCTTTTTAATGTAACATTAGTCAAGTTTTTCATCTCTCGAACCTAAGGAAAATAGAGGCCAGCAAGTCATTGTCTTTTTGAATAGGGAACCAAAAAAAAAAAAAAAAAAAAAAAAAGAGAGAGAGAGAACCTGAGAATTTTAATACTAGAAATAAGCAGGTGCTACCGGGGTTAATGATGCAGTATACATTAATTATAGGCAAAAGTAATTCATCCTGGGAAAAACTTTAGAAATGGATTACAAATTAAGTATTGTCGATGAGATAAGTGATCATTCCTGGATGTGTTATTTTGACAGCAAATTTCTTCATTGTGTTTTGAAGTTAGCGCCTATATATTGATACTGGGGGTATAACAACTGCAATGGTCATGTCCTGCTGAGGAGGTTCAGGAGGGTTTGATTAAGAAAGTGCTTTCGCCATATCAGTAAAGTCAAAACATATAGGTAAGTTGTATGTAAAGAAATGTGGCACTGGGTAATTTGATTTAGAACTGATCTCCAAGATATCATATATTCAAGGGAAAGTCATACATCATTTATCGCTTGGTCTACGACACCGTTACATGAAGGTCTGTGCCTTGATGTCGGAGTCTGCCCAGGGTGTAAGATTTGTAGTGCTCTGCAATGCTTGACTGATTCATGTTTTTATGAACCACGTATGTCTTTCGCTTGGGCCTTATATGTGAGCCTATGCAACGTAAATTGGTTCATAGTCCTCTTCTGCTTTGTTCTGCACTTGTAGCTCACTCTTTCCTATTTTTTGCTTATCTATAATGTATCCTAACTTTCCCAGTTTATAGTCTATTTTTTTTTTAAACTTCCTCAGTCCACAGTGATCTCTTTTTTTAAACTCTTAGAGCACTTGTGGTCTGAACAGTGTCACTAATTTGGCAACAAATCATATACTGGCTCCCACTAGTCTTGTAGTGTTATGCTTATGGTGACCCAGAGCAAGGACATAATAGCATTGGTCAGACCAGATCTGGAACTGTGTTCAGCTGGAGTATTTCCTTATAAGAGGCACATTAAGAAAATAGATTAAGAGGAAATTAATTTTTTATTTTTTGAAGAGATCGATTAGACTAATGAAGGGCATAGATGACATTTGAAAATGTGAGTTTAGTTGTTAAGAAGATTTAAAAGGGAGAGGATCCTAACAGTAGATAAAAATAGTTTTTAAACCTCTTATCATTTTGTTGCTCCAGAGGATAGAACTAAGACTAGAACTGTCCTGGTGGCTCATATCTATAATCCTATCTACTTGGGAGGTTGAGATGGGGAGGATCAAGGTTCAAGGCTAGCCCAGGGAAATAGTTCCTGAGACCCTATCTCCAAAATAACTAGAGCAGCTGGGTGCTGGTGGCTCACATCTGTAATCCTAGCTACTCAGGAGGGAGAGATCAGGAGGACTGAGGTTCAAGGTAGTTTGAGAGACCCTATCTTGAAAATATCCAATGCAAAAAATGGCTGGTGGAGTGATTCAAGTGGTAGAGCACCTGCCCAGCAAATGTGAGGCCCTTAGTTCAAACTCCAAAACCACCAAAAAAAAAATAATAATAATAACAGCAAGAGCAAAATGGACTGGAGGTGTGACTCAAGAGGTACAGAGTTTCTGCTTTGCCAAGTACCAAGCCCGGAGTTCAAACCCTAGTCCCATCAAAAACAAAACAAAAAACTGAGATAGTGGACCAATGGCTTAAAATTATAGGAAATCAGATTTTACTTTAACATAAAGAAGAATTTAGGATTGGGGATGCGGCTCAGTGGTAGATTGCTTGCTGAGTATGAACAAGGCCCTGAGTTCAATCATTGCCTCGTGATCAATCCCCAACACCGGGGAAAAATAAAAAGAACAAAAGAACACAGTATTTCTTGTATTTTAAAAACAAACAAAAGGGTGTTTTTAGCAATGGTAACTGGACCAAGTTGATTTATGTTGTGACTTGCTCTTAAAAAGACTATGATTTATTGTCACTAATCAGCCATCCAATTAACTGAAAGGATGCAGCTGGGAAATTCTTAGAAGGTGAACTTCAGTAGCTTTAGTATTTATAGGATACTCAGGACACATATTGATTAGAGCTTGATTCTACTCAGGGAAACCCCAAGATATATTTTAGTTTACAGCCTGTGCGGCAAGTAGGAATGGTTTTAGAGATTCCAGGTATAGGATAGATTAGTCAGTACTGCTCATTTTCTCCCATGGCATTATTATCTTCTGTCTCTAACTCCTTGCTGCATGTTTCCACCATGTTATGGTTCTAGTAGTTATTGTCCTTACAGGTAGAATTGCTATTGGGTTCCTTTCACTTAACTGTGGCGTCAGGAAGTTTATTGTGCCTTGTCTCAGCCAGGCAGCAGTGGAGGAGGAAAGGACCAATTTCCTCTGCCACAGCTATTGTCATAAACTCTTCCTTATATGCAGCACATCCTCTAATTTCTTAGTTTCTAATAGTGGAGTTTCTGTAAGAGTTGGGCTCTTTAGTCCAATATGCTAGATCCTATTTATCTATGCTATGTATTTTAGACTTTGCTATATGAGTTTGTTTAAAGTTTGGGCTGTGTGTCATTAGTAAATATTTGTTGAGTACCATCTCTGTGTTTCTTTATGATATAAATCTGTTAGATAAGAGACCATGGAATCTACATGGATTTTGAAAATGTCTCCTTAGGACTGTTGTAGCAGGGAAATAATTACAGTTTCCTCCCTCCCTCCCTTCCTTTCTTTCTGTGTTGGAGATTGAATCTAGAACCTCACATATGCTAGGTTAGTACTCTACCACTGAGCTACATCCCCAGCCCTCTTTTTCTAACATTTTGCTTTTGTTTTTTAAAATAAATATTTAAATGAATTTTATTAGGAGTCTTTTACTGTCTATGGGGATATTTAGAAAAGTTATCCAAAACTTGGAAATAGGCAAAATGGATTACTGGATGGCTTCTCTTGTTTGTTTTTTTGAGACAGGGTCTTGCTGTGTCACTCAGGCTGGCCTTGAACATGTGTTCTGTGCCATTAGGCTTGGCTAAAGCACGGTTCTTTGTTTGGGAGGTATTTTATACATGCATTGTGTTTGTAGTGCTGGGGGGAGCCAAGGGTCTTGTGCATATTAGGTAAGTGCTGTATCACTGACCAACATCACTAGTCCTATTTGTATATTTTGAAAAACTTTTTGTTTCTTTCCTTTTTTTTTGCTATACTGGGGTTTGAACTCAAGGTGTACACCTTGAGCCACACTCCACTAGCCCTTTTTTGTGATGGGTTTTTTCGAGATAGGGTCTCGCAAACTATTTGCCTGGGCTGGCTTCAAACCTCGATCCTCCTGATCTCTGCCTCCTGAGTAGATAGGTTTGTAGGTGTGAGCCACTGGCACTCTGCTGAAAAACGTTTTTAATTGCTTCTGGACTTGGTGGT